TAGCTCCCGCAGACACCCTGGCGTTCCCTGGCACGCAGGCCGCCCACCGTGCACAAGGCCACCAACATCAGCGGGGTTAGACCGAGGTCCGCCTCCCACTGGGGCCTGCTGGAGGACGTGGGGCTGGGTGGGACACTGTACCTGGAGTTTTGTGGGGTTGGGGGCAGAGAGGGCTATAAAAATGAATTTTAAATAGAAAACCTGAAATATGTTACTGCCATGTTCAGATGTTTCTTCTGGAGGTATGATTCGTATACAGTAAACTGTGCGGCTCTTATGTGTACAGTTTGCATTCAGCGAGTTTTGATAGGTGTGTGCTTGGCTGCCTGGCAGGTGTCCACCCCGGCTGGGCGGCCGGGGACAGTCCCTCCCAGCCTGGACTTGCCGACCTCGCCTCAGCCCGGCCTCCACCCAGCGCTCCCTGAGCTCTCGTGTCCCTCGTCCCTCGTTCTCTGCACGGGTGACTCAGCCTTCAGGCCCCGCCCTTTAACGCAGCCTCGATGCCGTGTGACCGCTGGGTCGGAGCGGGGCGCAGGGTCGGGGTTCTGCAGTTACGGAGGCCAGGGCGTCCCCTCGCCTTTTTCCGTAATAACGACCGTGGTGAGCTCCATTCGACCTCCATTTAGAGTCTTCCAGAGTGCTTCCACTTAGCTGCTTGCTCTGTTTATTGCTTACCACAGGCCTGGGAGACTGGCCTCGGGTCCATTTGTGGATTAGAGGTTAGAGCTGAGAGGTCACTTGTGCACAGGCCAAACAGCTGGGAAGTGGGGCAGCCAAGACTGAGCCCCGCCGGCCAGACCCGAGTCTCACCTCTGTCCCAGCGCTGCACCTGGCGCCGTTGCCGCGCCTGCAGAGCCCTGCAGCGGGCAGGGCACAGTCCGCCCTCCCGGAACGGGCGGCCTGGCCCCATGGCCACAGCCTTCTGCAGGGGCTGCGTGGGGACCGCTGGGGGGCCGGGGCCACCACGCACGGAGTGGCTGACTCGCTGTCACCCAGCTCTACGCGGGAAACAAGAGCAAGCTTGCACCCTGCTGAGGGACAGGCCTCCCTCCATTGTCAGCCCCTCTCCTCCTGGAACCAGTACAGTGTGGGAGTCTAATGGCACCAGACCACCCAGGTTCAAACCCCAGCTCTGCTCTCTACTCTGTGACCTTGGCCAAGCCATTAACCTCCTCTGTGCCTCAACCTCCCCATTGGTAAAATGTGGATGATAATAATAGGACCTACTTCAAGGGGTTATGTGCAGATTGAACTAGTTAAGGCACGTAAAGTACAACAGAGTCCAGAACATTCAGTATTTGCTCAAAAAGTATTAGCAAAGGCATAACTGTCATTATAATACACAAGAATTATTATTGTTATTTTAGACCTTTGGCTTGGGGAGGCAGAGTCTGCAAACCTACAGGTCACCAAGGGGCCTAGGATGTTGCTTCCTTATTGAAAGGTGGCTGCTGCAGCTCCAGCCATTAAGTCTGCCTTCCAGGCAAGAAGGTAGGGAAGGGAGAAAGCATTTTCTTAAAAGGCAGTCCTCCTAGGGAGGTTTTTTACACCTCACTGGCCAGAACTGGGTCACACAGGCAACCCTAGCTGCAAGGGAAGCTGGGGAATCACATTTTTAAGATGTGAGACTTATTTCTCTGGCAAACTAAGGGAGCCTGGGCAGCAGATGGGCAGGGTCTGCCCCAGCTCCCTTTGCTGCCCAGTCTGGACCGTTCTCTAAGTGGGTCCCCTGCACCCCTATGTTTCCAGGAAAGAGGCAGCTGGGGACCTCGGCTGCCCGCTTGCCGGTGAAGTTGCCCCCGAGGGCAGCACCGTTGGTAACTGGCATCTCCCCCGGGGCAGGAGGGCCGCTGTCTCCCGGACGACGCGTACTTCCCGCTTCCAGGGCCAAGCAGCTCTGCGGAGTCTGTGGCTTCTGTCCCCCCTGCCCCGAGGTCCAGGGGCACTGTGGTTGCCCGGCGTCGGCAGAAAGGTACACAGTTGCTCTTTGCTTTTGTTGTCCTTGGGCCAGGGCCAGGGCCAGGACAGTGTTCTCCAGAAATGATGCCTCCTTTCTAAACTGCTCTCCTGCCTTTGGGAAAAAGCTTCTACCTGCCAGGGGGGTCTCGGGGCCTGAGCTGTGCCAGGTGCTTAACAAATCCCGTCTCATGCCCCCAGCCCAGCACCGACGGGAGAGCTTTGTGGCGCAGTGACGGCAGCTGTCTGTGTCGGCGCTGGCCGTTACCCCAGCCGCGAGCCAGGCAGGCGCACTGAAATGTGGCCAGCACAACTGAGTTGGCCATTTTATTTCATTTTAAGTAATTCACCCTTGGCCACCCGTGCCTAGTGGCTGCCGTTCTGAGCAGTGCAGCTGTAGACTGGAGCACAAGGCCTCTCTGTCCCCACGGGGAGAAATGCATGAAAACGGTAGCAGTTGTCTAGATTCGTAAGAGTGGGTCCCTCGAAGGGCACCGATGTTATGAAGGCCCAGAGAGGGATAGGGACTTGCCCAAGGTCACACAGCAAGCTGGTAGTCCCTCTGAGGGAAAAACTCAAGGCTTCCCGCTGCAGCTTCTCCGTTGTTTCTGAAGAGTGTGGTCACTCCTCTCTGCACAGGCGCACCTGAGTGCTTTCCACGGCTCGTGTTCATTCTCCTCACCCCCATTTTACAGGTGAGGCAACCGAGTCCCAGGGAAGGGGAATGCTTAGGCTTTCTGAGATTGCAGTCCTAGGATTGTACCTGTTTCTGGAGAAGTCTGGGGCATGTGAGGTCTGGGCCTCCACACCCACCTGGGGCAGGTGCAGTCGGTAAGTTCCGATAAGCCTCTCTCTTCCCATGGAGTTGTTTTTCCAGCCTGGTCTCCTAGGACTTGGCTCCTGTGGGTGCCGCACCTGCTGCCCCACCCCCGTGGCTCCCATCAGCTTGTTCTGAGCCTGACAGAGGGGTGGGGCCTGGGCGTCAGCTACACCTGTCAGGAAGGTGAGTGCAGGAAAACTCTGCCTTTGCCACTGTTAGCCAAGGAGAAGGGCACGCGGCCCCCAGCCCCACCCGCCCCCCGCCCCCAACCCCGGGCAAGGGGCAAAAGAAAACCGGCCAAGCCCCGGCCCGGGCCCCCAACCCCCCGGCCCGCCAAGGGCCCCCCGGAATGCCCCGTCTCGTTGCGTCAGAATCGACGTGGGTGGGAGTGGGGACCGGGGGCCTAGCAGGACGGGCAACGGGGGAGTACTGCTGGGGCTTCCGGCATACCTGGAGCACCTCCTGTGTGCATAGCACATTCTGTGTACGTGACCTGGTGACTCCAGAGCTGTGCCCCAGCCATGCCCCTTCCAAGACCCTCACAGTCTGTGCCCTGGACTCCCATGGGCTACGCATCCCCTCTCAGCAGTGGGGCTGCTCGTCACTCTCGGCTGCGTGTGTCTGGTCCAGCCAGGGCTGCCTCGCCTCCTGCCCAGCTCCCTCCTTGAGGAGAAATTGGGGTAGGGTGGGGGACAGTGGGGACAGCAGCCTGTGCCGGGGGTGAGGCGGCCGGGCAAGTCTGGTCAGTGGCGGCTCTTTCATCCGCTCATCCGACAGATGCTTCTCGGGGGCAGCGGGGTGCTGGGCGCTGTTCTGGGCACAGGGACACAGCGGTGAACAAACGGACCCAGGTCCCTGCCCTCCTGGGCCTTACGTACAGCCAGGAAACAAACACGTGCGTGTGGCACGCTGTCCACAGCTGTCCACAGCTGACGAGCGCTACGGAGGAAGAGCGAAGGGGACGGAGGCTGGAACTCAGCCACCGGGCAGGGTGCACTGAGCTTCCGCCAGCCGCGGGGACGCAGGCAGCCCTGCACCCACCCAGCCCTGGAGCCTGCGTCTAGCTTGGGAAGGACGCATAGGCAGAATTGAGGAGGCAGCGTTGGGCAGGGTGGGGGAGGCCCTCTGCAGAGGTGATGGGGCGTGAAGGCTGTGTCACCATGAGGAGGTGGCCACAGGAGGAACCAGGAAGGGGCGTTCCAGGTGTAGGGCCCCCCAGGGCTATGGCCCCGAAGCTGGGCAGCGCTGGGCAGTTGCAGGGGGAAGGACCAGCACGGCTGGAGGGTGGGAAGAGGGAGACAGTGTTAAGGATGTAGGCTCAGGCCAGCCCCTCGGGGCGTGCGTCTGTGAGCATTTCAGAATGTCCTTCAGCCGTGTGCTAAGTGAGGTCAGTCCACTCTCTGTCCGTTGTCGCTCAGGTGAGCTGACCTGGGCGTCGTGTGTCTATTGGCCTGCAGGACTGAGACGCTGGCGACTCCTCATGGGACGGTGGTGCACCTTCCCAGTACCTACCTTAGGCACCCCAGGGTTGAAGGGGGCACCAGGCTCTCCTTGGCCCCATCCCTGGGGCCCCACTGTATGTAGGCTTGGATCTAAGTCCCGCAGGAACCTCTGCCTACATGTCTCCTTGTCTCTGCTCATTGCACCCGTTTTCCTATGGGACAGTCAGGCGTGAAGGCTGAAGTTCTGTTTCCGCACAGCGCTGAGCCCCTGGAGGTCACGGGTTTTGTGAGATGTTTTGAGTGTGCTGTTTTAGGGCTGTTTCGTTAGTGAGACTGGGAGCTCAGGCTCTGGAGTCAGCCAGGATTTCCTAGCTCTCTGCTTCCTACTAACTTTGTGATCTCCTGGAGTTACTTAATCTCTCTGAGACTCGACGTCCCAATCTGTAAAATGGGGGTTATAATGATCCCAGGCTCAGAAGGTTTGGGTGATTTAAATGCGATCGTGCACATAAAGCTTGACTAGGCATGCCACTGGCCATAACACTATCTCTTAAGACTATTGGCCGCTGGAATGGATGCTCGGTGCCATGACAACAGCAGTGGGACCCTCAAGAGGGTGGGGGCTCTCCAGATGTGCTCTGCAGACAGTGGGTGGGGTCCCGGACAGGGGCTGGGGCTCGTGGCCTCAGGGGCTTTTTTCCCTGCACACAGGTGGGGGAGGCCCTGAACACGATGCAAACAGCGAGCATCCCATGTGCTAACCTTGTGCTCTTCTCCCCCAGTGCTCCTGCGGGAAGAAGTGTCCCGGCTCCAGGAGGAAGTTCACCTTCTCCGGCAGATGAAGGAGATGTTGGCGAAGGACCTGGAGGAGTCACAGGGTGGCAAGTCCTCTGAGGTCCTCTCGGCCACCGAGCTCCGGGTCCAGCTGGCCCAGAAGGAACAGGAGCTAGCCAGAGCCAAAGAAGCCTTGCAGGGTGAGTGACATCAGTGGCAGGTCTGTCCCCAGGGATGTGGGCTCAGGCCTTGGCAGCCCTGGAGCACTAGGGTCCTCCCTCTGCCGGGGGAGCGGCGTGGATGGACACAGGGTCTCGCAGCACCCACCCCCAGCCAAGGCTGCCTGTCCCTTCTCTCGGTGGGACTCTGCATCTTGCGTGGGTGGGTGCAGATCTCGCTTTCTCCTCCAGTGTGACCACCGAGCATTGTCCCTCACGGTCAGATGTGCGGCCCCTCTGCCTGAGACGTGACTGGCAGGTGGGCATCCTCGCTGGGCCCAGCTGTGGACCCAGCAGCTGGGTCTCCTTTCCAGCACTGTCAGGGTCCGTCGGTGCCTCCTCTCGTGGGACAGTGTGCACGTGCTGCCTTCTCTCCTGGAGGACACGTCTGTGTGCCACGCTTCACTCTTGCTCGCTGGGGTGGGCGCTCCGCAGCCCGGGGGCGGGGAGAGCTGGAGGACAACATGGTGTAGGCGTCCAGGTGGTCTCTTGACCAAAGGGACTGTTGACCGGTGACCACTATGTGACAAGTGTATCCTCAGCTAGAAGGGGCTGGAGGAAGAGCCTCAAAGGGTTGTTTGAGAAAGGTTGGAAGCCATCACCTACCCTGTCAACTGGCTCCTCAGTGCTTGGAGAACTCAGGCGTGAAACATTTGGGGAGAAGATAGTCTTTAGGGTCTGCCTGGATTCTCTTGAGCCCCCTTAATGTCTTTGCTTTTCCTGGAAAAAAAAAAAAGGCGATAGAGTTTTGCAGCCTGCTTCCCATTTGTCATTTACTAGAACAATGAATACCCTAAAAATGTCATTTCTGAAGCCCAAGCAGGTTTGTCAGTTTGGTTGATGCCCTGCTGTTATAACAGAGACCCCAGAATAGAGTGTCTTAAAGAATCAGGTTCTCCTGTAACCATCCCCAGGTGAGCGTTTGAGGCTGATGGGTGTATGTGTTCCCCTCAGCTCTTGAGAGACCCCAGGGAAGAGCCAACATCAAGGGCTAGAGAGTTCCCTTGGTGAGAGCTTGGTCAAGTGGCTTTGCCCAGCTGCAGGGGGTGCTGGGAAGTGTAGTCTCTAGCTGGGTGGCCATGTCCCAGCTCGGACTCCAAAGGGGTGAAGGGGAGAATGGATTTTGCTGGAGCAGCTTCCCTGCGCAAGAGTACGATGGAGGCAGCAGGCTGAGCAGGCCGCCTGTCCAGGGCCCAGCTGGCTGTCCCCCAGGAAGCCTGGGAGATTATTGCTGGGGGGGACCCTGGACCCAGAGTGTCACAGCGCTCTCTACACAAGTCTTTTCAGCAAAGCATACAGCTCTCAAAGGCAGATGGACAACCATCTTCTACTGGGGTTTTGTTTCTGGCGGGGTCACTGGGGCAGTGTTCTGGGTGATCTTTTCAAGCTGTTGTGGACATTGGTGTGCATCGTGGCCCAGCTGACATTGTGTACTTGGGAAGACACTTCACCAGGCATGAACACTTTTCCTCCACGCAGCCGTCCCTGGACCTGCAGTCTAGGCAGGTTTGCATGAGCCGCCCTCCTCGCCCAGCTCCCTAGGGACCTCAGAGCACCCTTTCCCCTGCTCAGGGTGGAGTCCCAGGCCTTGGGAATCTCCCACGAGAAAGTTCTGCTGGATCCAGGCTGTGCGAGCTGATGTCCTTTGGTCTTGCTAAACTTTATGATCCTTGGAGAGTCAGGACTGGCTCAGGAAGCAGCCACGTGCTGTCTCAGCCACCTTTCCCGGAGTGTATTCCAGGAACAGAGAAACTACCTTCCACACCCTTCGCCAGGGACAGAATTCTCACTGCCATTTGCTCTTCTGCAACTGTGAGGAAGAAAAACCCTCCCTCGGCTGTTCCTGGTCCTAGAGGGACGGGAAGGGGAATAACCAGAGGCTTGTTGCCCCCACCACACCCTAGTTCCTTGGACATACAACCTAGCCTCTCTGAGCCTCAATTTCCTGATCTGAGTAATGGGACAATAATGGAAGCTTGACAGCAGATTATGAGAATTAAATGAGGTCGTGTGTAGAAAGGGGATAGCTCCTGCTGTCATGATAATGCACGTCTGTAGCCTGCAAGGTTCGAGGCTGTCCTGGCTATTATTCCTAGCTCTGTGCTGGCCAGCCTCACCCAGGGACCCAGAGCCCTGCCTGCTGGGCGGCTCCTTTGTAGGAATAATAACCTTAGCAGCAGAACTTGCCGGTGTTCATTAAAGGGAAGCTTCATCGAGCATCTGCTGTGTGCCAGCACTGATCTAAGACTCTGTCTCCCGTTCACCTCAATCCTGCCAGGAGCTAGTCACCCCCTTTCTCAGACGGAGACACCACAGTGACGTTCGGGGAGGTTAAGTGACTTGGCCAAGGTCACAGAGCTAATGAGCAGCAGAGACAGAGGCTTTTTCCACTGCACTGACACCCGTTGTCTTCCCTCTGAGTGTGGTCACTGGGAACGAAGTTGGCCGGATGGGAGAGACGGGAGGCTGTCTTAGCTCAGGGATGAGGACAGCAAGTCTGGGCTTGAATCCAGCTCCAGCATTTACTAGCTGTGTGACCTCGTATAAATTCCTTAACCTCTCTGAACCGTAGTTGCTTAGTGGAGGGTAGTAATAACAATACCTATTTTTCTTATAATTGGGGCCAATAATAGTAGCTAGTTCATAGGGTTGTTGTGATGATTAAATGAGATATAAAGTGCTTGGCTCAGTGCTTAGTACCATTAGTGCAAATACTGAGTGGTTATCAGATGCCAGGGGGCTTAGCAGAACTCCCTGGATCTGCTTGGAGATGTCGGTTGCCTGATTCCTTTGAGAAGTAGCCCAGACCTGAGACCCCTGTCCCTATCCCCTAAGCCCATCTGAGCTCAAGGCAGCTGCGTTCCTGAAAGGCAGTGAGGTGGGCACCCTCAGCCGCCCCGAGCATCCTGCCTGGAATCTACAAAGTCATAAATAAGACGCTTCCTCTCGCCAGCCACAGCACGTGGTGAGTAAATTGCAGACAGATGTGGGCAGAAGGAGTCTGGGGCATGAAAAGGGATTTATATGCCCGTAATGAGGACAGTGAGAATAAATGCACAAGCAAAGCCAGCAGCAGATGTTGGGCGACACTTGTTAACAACCAGTGTCCCCATGGAGGGGAAAAGGCAAAGCCCCAAAGACCCCCACCCTGGCAGCTGCCCCCCTACGCCCAACTCAGTCTTTGGGCTTGGGTGAGACCTGAATTTTCCAGCGTGAGAGGATTAGGAACTCGGGCAAACACCCGAAACGTCAGTCCATGGTTTCAACATCAAAGCAAAGCAAAGAATCCAGTTCGGGGGAAATGGGGTTTAGAGGATTCCTTTGTTTGGGAATGAGCGTGGGAATGCTCGCCTTAGGATTTCGGTCTCGTCGTGAGTTTGAAGGCTGAGCCCTGAATGTTTAAGAGGGAACGGTGTCATCATATGTGCCGACTGGCTGCCCCCGCCCTGCACCTGTGGCGGCCCGGGGACCCCTCGGGGTGCCCGTTAATTTCCTCAGCCCTCCCCAGCCTCACGGTTTCTCCGAGAGTCAAGGCGCACAGAGACAATGGTAATGAAAATTGCTTCTTTGCTTTTTAAATCTCTGAACAGCACGTTAAGAGTGTTGAGCATGTTCCCACAACAATAAATACTCTTTGCAAGCATAATTTGTAATGACTACATAATGTTCTACCAAATGGAGGTACCATAATTTATTTAGCCATTTCCCCATTATTGGACACTTAAGTTGTTTCCACTTTTTTCTTCCCACCCCACCCCCCCTTTTTCGCCATTATGTAACAATGCAGTAAAGATCCGTGTGTGCCAATCTGTTTACTTTTTTAGGACAGCATTTCCCAACCTTTTTGGTCTCAGGACCCCTTGAAACTTTTACAACATTGAGAACCTCAAAGAGCTTTTGTTTGTATGGTGTGGATCTATTGTTATTTACCATTTCAGAAATTAACACTAGAAAAAAATATTTACCTCTTCAATAATGTATTTTGAAATAATAATAAACCCCATGATATGTTAACATAAATAAAATTATTTTTTAATGGAATGCAACTATATTTTCTCAAACTAAAAGATTTGAGTGAAAAGAGCAGCATTGTAGCTTTTTTTTTTTTTTTTTTTACATTTTTGCAAAACTTGTTGATGTCTGCCTTCATAGCAAACTGCTGAATTCTCATCTCTGCTCCTTTGGTCTGTTGCGATGTGTTGTTTTGGTTGGAAATCTGGCATCACACAGATATGTAGGTGGAAAAGGAAGGAGTATGTTAGTTGCCTTATGAGATAATTGTGGATATTCTTCTTTGATGCCACGCTAAGACTCACTTGGTGGTAGTTTCTTGAAGGTTCGTTGCAGTGTGGCTTCTGATACCTTATCCAATAACGTCTTTATACTCGGCTACATTAAATGCACTGGTCTAATTTGCACTGACAAATGGGTATTTTACCCACATATGATTTTTTTTAACATCATACGTTGATCATTTAGAAAATGTTGGTTCACTGAGCTGCGCAGATCTTCCAAATGTTGACATATCTCAGTGGAAATAAAAAGTCACATGTGTTAACATCACCACCAATCTCATCAGAAAAGTCTTTAAGTACTGAGAAGCTGTTAAAGTCATGGTGACAGATCAGGTTTGCCAAAATTCTAGTTTTTACTTGAAAGTTCAAGTTTTATCGTTGGCAACAAATACTGTCAGTTGTTTTCCTAGAGATAACGGGCTCCCTTTAGTTCATTTCTAAACTTAGTTCATTAGTTTGCCAGATAGCGGTTTCTATGTCAGTCATTCTTTCAAGTACAAAGGATGTTCTGTGAAAAAGTGGCTAGTTTAGCTTGCAACTCAAGCAGACACATGGATGTTTTTTCTTGAGACAACCACTGTACTTTGGTATGCAGCAAATGAGCTTTTCAGGAGACTAAATAAAATTAGTAATTTTATTGCTTCGTCAGGGACATTGCTAAGTGCAACTCTCCTTTTTTTAAACTGA